AAACTATATAAAAATAAAAGGTAAAGTAATAATAAAAGCTTTACCTGGTTCACCAATATTATTACATTGATGTATCATCATTAAAATTATGTCAACCTTATCACTTTTACTTGTAATCATCAATTCCAAGTCCATCAGTTTAGGAATTTTTGGATTCACAATTTTTTTCCTTCTTTTCCTCATTTTCGTTCAACTATTTTTAAAATTTGCAAATCACTTTTTCACCCAATTATTTATTCGATTCAACTTTTTTTCATCCTTTCTCTTTAATTAATCTAATTATTGATAAAATTAATGAACAAGAATCAGAAAGTCAGTCTTCTTCATGAAGTTCAGTTACAATCATTGTCCACTCCTTTTTGAGGTTGACTTTGAGCATTATTTTGTCTCTTTGTTGCTAGAAATGATGAAAAATTTCAAATGAAAAAGTCATTAACATCTTTTGGACAAACATGAAAACTCAATCAGGATTAAGTTGATGAAAGGATGGAAATTCTGGACGATTTAAGAAAGGGTTCAGTTGGAGTTCAGTCTAGACAAGTAAATCTGATTTCAATGAGAAAAATTCATTTTAAAGTTGAATCAAGTCTTTGAATGAGATTTGGTTGTTAAAATGAAAGGTTAGATTTGAGATGAGATTCAACTCTGTATTGCAACAATGTTGGAATTGAGTTCATAAGAAGACTAAGAATTGTTGAGAATTATTATCGATAGAAATTAAAAATTAAGATAATCACTGAGTTTACTGAGTTTTCACTATAAACTGTTGAATAAACAAATCTGTGCAACTCAATTTATCTCCATTCACCAGCCTATTGATCTTTTACCTTCAGTTTAACGAATGCCTTTATTTTGGTATTTCAAATATTTACTAGCTTCTCAACGATTCTCGTTGATTACCTTAGCTGTCCTCGCATCTTTACTGAGGTAACTTGAGAGATTCATCTTGGAATTCTTCAATTCCCTTCTTTTACCATGTAAATAAATGAACACAACAATTAATGGATGAACAGAATAGATTCAACCAATTTGACTCAAACAAGAGCAGAAATTTTTTTGAATAATGAATTTAATGGACAAACTTGCAAAACTTTAGTCTAAATTTTAAAGTTCAATATTCACTGAGTGGGAGTGAAGCAGTTCCCTTAATTGGTGACAAATCAGTAGGCAAAATAGTCGATGCATTATTGGAATATGATTTTTCAGATTCTCTGTCAGACATTTCCTGAAATGTGTAAAATGATCTCATCTGTACTCAAAACTCACTCAAAAATGATCGATTCGTTCTGATCCTCAATCGATCATGAAATTGATGAAACGAAAGTTTGAATCCTTTTCCAGAGCAAAATTTAAAAATTTTTCTAAAAGAATTTCCAAATTTTCTAATTTCCAAGATCAAAGTTCCAATTCCTAATATCTTCATGATTCGATTTGAAAAGAGACTTTGATTTCCAATGGAATCGAAATGAATCTCGAATGTTGGCCATTTCATTGGAAAATCCGAGTTTCGTTTCTGTCAGCATTTCCATCGTTTTAAAATAATAACCTTTTTTGAGCAAAAAAATGATTTCCATTTACATTGATAAATCTTGTTGATACCTTTTACCTTTGTTTATTTGACATTCATTTATCATTAGATAATATTGTAATTTTATCATGTTTTCTCGTTGATTACTGTTCATATTTTGTCACAAGTTGAAATAGCTATTTTTCATGTCATAATGTTTACACTTGTTTATCAAGTCAATTTCCGTTTGTGAATAATAATGATAATAATAATAAAAGAGGTGAACAATGAATTGGTGAAAATATTTTTCAAATAATGTTATAACAATTCAGTGGCAAGAAATAAATAATCACTGGTGGAAACCAGAGATTTTAGTTTCTCTGTTGATCCATTTATTAATGGAAACATTTTCATCATCATTATTATATGCATATTGACATTTGTAAAGGTCACTGAGTTTCAATAAAATGTCTAATATTTCTTCATTCCCAGTCTTCATGAGAGAGAGAAAGAAATGTATCTGTTCATGATGATATTTGTTTTCATTTTCATCTTTCAATTTAGATATTTTTACGTTTACCTTTTTTTCTGGTTCACCCAATATTAACCCACTTTATTGTTTGCCATTATTTATTATGGTTAAGGTCAATTGACTGGGAGCAAAAGATGTAATAAAGTGAAAAATGATCTCAAGTAACACTTAATTTTGATTATCGAGGATATCATTGGGTTAATTTGAGGTGAAAACAATCAATAATTAAAATGAGGAAACATGAGACAAACCGAAAGTCTGTTTACAATTTAACAATAAACTGAAAGATTAGCTCTGGCAACGATGACAATTAAACCGAACTAAGTCAATGTATCAAATTTTGTGTCCGAATTGTGGCCGAGCGGGTTCTAGAACTAAATTACAGCCTTAATTCAAGTACAACAAAAGTGAGAGATTTCACCTTAGAATTAAAATCGCTGAAAAATTCATGAAGATAGAGGCTGGGGAAAAGCCAGACTTCATTAACATTTAGTCTTGGGGAAAACATTGTTATCCAGGTTGATGTTTCATTGTTGGATCAGGATTTTTATGTAAAACTTTGTCTTCGAGTAAATAACAATACTAAAGGATAACAATAAATAGTTAGTAGAGTTTGGTGAAATCTGGTTCCTCAACTTTATAAAAGGAAGATCTGAGTTTCAATTTTGAACTCGATTGTCCAGAGAAACTTTTCAATTCAACAAATGGAATCAGTTTTATGCTCTAGCAACCAACAAAGGGTCAACTTTCAACTCAAAATTTTTATGTTTCTTAAAGAAAAGCTTTTTCATCCCAAAGTGAATCTTATCGATTTGACAAAAGCTAAGATTTTAATTTTAGGATTTCCTATCTGATGATGCTTTTTCCATCAAGAATTCAGCTCTTTTTGAATTCAATGTATCTTACTCGATAGAAAGACTTACGGTCAATCATTTTTATAGCTGAGGTAAAAGTGTTATATCAGAAATTTTGCAACCAAATGTAACTTCGACTAAATAATTCGACTAAAGAGTCGAAAAATAAGATTCGTTCCCTAGCAATTGAGATTTCTGAGAAAATCATGTTCTAACAGAATCCATATTCTAAAGCATTGAAAAGAGGGAAATATTTTGTTCAGTTTGATTTCATGGCTTGAGCTCTGATGAACTTTAGGAGCGCTTGTTTGATCGACAGTTTTGGATGAAATCGCTTTCAAAGTTAAACTTCGTTCTGTTTTAGATTGAGTTTACATTTTATTTTTAGGTTTTCTCATTTTAACAATGGTTTTTCATGGATGATTTGGGTCTTTTATGGATCAGTCATCGAGAGTCTGCTTGTTAAGCTTGAAAGGAAAACTTAACCATTTGAAATCGATTTTTAAAGTGACCATTTTTATTCGATTGTTGAGGTTAATATGAAATCTGGTTTCGACTTTGGTTAACAGCTAATTTTAATAACCTTTTTTTGGCTTTTCGCGAGGCATAAATTGAAACGTGAACAATTAACTATCTATTGGTATCAACAAACCAACCTTTTTTAAATCACAAATCATCTTGATTACACACATAAACTGTGTTAATAATAGCAAACAAAAGAGGTTCAGTTGAATGTAAATTAAAACACACACACACCTGATACAATTAACTTAACCATTTGAGGTTAAACATGAAAAGATGATAATTCAAACGCAAATTGAAAAGATAAAACAATCCAAAAAAAGGTTCACCTTTCACCTAAATCTTCAATCAATATTGTTCCTTTAGTCCAACGACAATTTAGTGATAAAATGGAGTAATTAAAAGATGAAAGTGATAAACATTGATCACAATCACAAAGATATACTTTCGGTCGCAACAAGGGAAAGCTTTTCAAACTAAAAGATTGTATTTACATAATAATGATTATAACAGTTGATTATATCGTTGATGCTGTTACCGATTGAAATGGTTATTCAACGAGATCAATGGCCATTAGGTAACATGTTAACACCGAAAGAAAAGTCAGATTTTTCAGAGTTAACTTCAGTTGAAACCTGTTCTCCTTTGTCTTGTAAATGCAAAACACCATTAGATATCATTAGACACCATTGATAGATGAATAACTGTCTGAATTGTTAATAGATGTGAAAAAAATAGCTTCAACTGTTAATATCATCACAAGTTTGTATCATTATCATTGTGATGACCTTTTCAAATGTGTTTCACCTTTTCAAGTCTTTACCTGTCAACTACCGTTATCATGTTTTGCCTCTTTACTTCATCATCATTATCATCAGCAATTTTTTTTGTTGCTCTTCAATACTTCAATGATGGAAATTCAATTTGACCGATAACAATGAACTTGAAATGGACACTGAAAATGCTCATGAATCTTTCATCACATTTATGGTTATGGTTATGGCCATTATTATCACTTGTATTGTTACAGGCTTGTTTAAATTACTCCAAGTTGCTTGTTAATAATTATTGTCATTACAAACAACCATTTCTTAAAAAAAGGTAGTAATGATGGAAATGTTGATTATTGTAATGATTATGATGATCATTATGATAGTGTTAATAGGAGATGAAATTGTCTTATTGTTTATTTTGTTAATGTTTGACCATTGACCCGTAAATGTCTATATTTTGGCTTCTCATTTTCATTGATACCATTGGGATTTTGATTTAACCATTTTGGTAAATCTAATTGGGTTCAATTGGGATGTAATTTGATTAAAACGGACAATTTTTCAATTTTAAAATTACTCGGTGGATAAAAAATTGTGGGTAGGGGAAAGCACCCCCTTTTGTTGCTCAGAAGACAAATTTGGTTTGTCTACATTTTAAATAGTAAGACTGAGCACATTAAACCGAACCCCTTTTCCCTTTATTTTTTATCCACCCAGTATGCTTATTGACGATCTTAATTATTATACAACCCCTTGACTAAGCGTTTTTTTGTCTTTGCGTTTCCCTCTTTTTTTATTTCAGAAGCTTTTTTAGAAGCTTTATTTTTAATTTTAAACATTTAATCAAAGAAAATTTGTTTGATTGAAACAATCGACACTGTCAATCAACTGTCATCTGTTTTCAAGTTTTTTTCATTAATGTGTTCAATTAAATGGTTTGGATTAAGTAAGTTACTTCTGCTGCGTAGTTAACCCGCAACTCATTTCCATGTGTTTTTTTATTGCTGCTTCAGCCTTTTCCTGGTCAAATCATGGTTTGGTGTTTAATCTTTTGATTAGCTTTCTTTGGTTAATTGTCATAATCAATCCATGTCGAGTCGCTCTTTGTACCTACAATATGCTACAATTGGTTTAATAATTGGTTTAATAATTGGTCTAATAAGTGCTGTAACAGTTTGAATGTTTAACCGTTTTGTTCAAGTGGACTCAATCGATGAATTAGAGCTTACTCAATGATTAACCAGTATTAACTTACTCAAAGCAACTTGGACCTTTACTTGGAAGAAAAAATTTGGGTTCTGAAGCATCTTATGGGGACAAGAATGTTGATGACCAATAAGCTTAATCAACTTTTGGCACTCTCAAGTGATCGCGTTTTAAGGAAACAGAAAACGTAAAATTATCATGCCAGTTAATCCTCTAGTTAAACTGTATGCTGCTGTTTAAATGGAATACATCTGGCAAGAATTATTGGTTGGTCAAATGTAATTCTTTGGCCAATAAATGTTTTTAATGTGGCTAATCTTGGACTTGATGTGTTACCTCAAGTGCTTTTGTTAACCCTGGCTGATAAAAACAAAAGTGAATAACAATCAAGAAGACTGTACAAGTAACCGGTTTCTGTATGTATAACTGTAATCAATTGGTAATACAGCAGTTAAGCAAAGCAAAAAAAATTGAACTTAAATTAAGTTTAACATTAACTTAAAAGTTTACCCAAAGAAACTGGTTGGTTAACGTTTTTTTTTGTATCTACATGGCTTAAGCAAGAAGTTGGAAGATTAATTTCACCTTTCTCTTCAAGATTTCTGCAAGATTTGCAAGAATTATATTTTTTATTGATAAAGGTGGTTCCACCAAAAAGTCAATGTGAATTTTGCCATAATTTATGCAAAACTTGAGGTGAACTTTTTTGCTTGCAACTAACTTTGATTTCTTTTTTTTTTTAACTCAACTTTTCTCTTCTCTTCCTTACAGCCTCTTACCAATAAACTTGCCATTACTTGCCTTGAAGATGCCCAATTACAAAGAGAAAGAAAAAAGAGAAAGAGACTTGGAGCTGTAATTATTATTATAATTAGTCTGAGCGCAAGCAAAGACCTACAAGATACGTCCTACCGGTCCAGAAACTACATAACCCAGGTCCTTCAAACTCGGCCCATAGATAGCTGACATGAATAAATAAGCAAATAAAGGAAACCTGGGAGTGAACGATCAAATAAAGGCAAGCAAAAGAGGTCAAACCAAGTGGATTAGATTGTTTAAGATCTCAACTTTGAAAAGTTTGATCATTTTCTTGGTTCATATCATCACCGTTATCATCTTACAGTCATCTAAAAACTATGGATTCAAATTCTTAGGTAATAGGATCTTAATTGGACCCATCTGACCTACAACTTATCATCTACAACTGTTATTTGACTTGCATCAAGTAAATCATAATATACTTATTCAATCATCATCTTTTTTGGAAAATCCAGAGTCATTCATTCTAATCTTTGTTTCTCCAACAGTTCGCTGTTTACCATTTAAAATCTATCAAGTAAAAAGCTGACTCACAGGATGGTCAAGATTAAAAAGACGGTCACTCTCATCATAATGAATTATTTCCAATAATTTATCTTCTGGTGAATATGCACTCAAGTAATATTAGACGGAGTAGATGTTGACAAAAATGGACACATTCCAATGAGATTGCAATATAATTGCCTGTTTCAACTTGAAATAATCATGACACAAATATTTTACTTCGATCTTACAGTCAAAGCTTCTCTTGTACACAGTGCGTGTTAGATATTGTCAAAGTTGACCGTAATCTTGACAAATCCATATTCATCGCCATTATTATAATCAAGAGGAATAATGCAAATTGAGTGAATAATTACCTTTCGATAAAAGTAACTGTACATCCGCATAGTTTCATCTGTAAAGAGAAAGAAGGAAAAATGCAATCAATTAGTTGATGGGAACAATTAATTACCAATAAAGGGATCAGTAGATGGCTTGAATACAATAGCAATAACAATTTTGGCTTTGATTCGCTATGATGCTGCTTGTGATTATCTGTTTACTGGTCAAAAGCTTGTTAATTATTGGCATCTTAATTGTAAACAAAATTAATTTACAATCAACTTTCATCATTACATTGTTGCTTTCAATCATCAATAACTTGGATCATGTTGGGCTTGTTGCTGCTGTTAATAATACATTAATATCATTATTACTATTAAGTAAATGATAGGATCAACAGAACATTACAACACGAGTGGAATTAATAAAAGGCTGGATCCAGTTAAAAGGACTAACCGTGATTAACTGATTGTTTAAGGTTGATTAAATTGAACATAAGAAATGATTTTTATGGTTTAATAATCATTTAAATATCATCATCAAAATGGTTCCTTTTTTTGTTCCGTCCAGTGAAACCAAATTTCATGCTGTGTTTAAAGTCAATCAGACATAAATCATCCTTTTTTCGCATCTTTGATCATTTAATTTGATATATATATATTTATATTTATATATATATATATGTATTTATATATCATCCAACTGGTTTAAAGAGATTACATGATGTTCAAGTCTGATGATGATTCTGATTATAATGATGATTATGATCAAGAGAAAGTCAGACCTTTAATTGACCTGATTTAATTTTGAAAGGAAGAAAAGATTTTAACTCTTTAATAAGATCTTCTCGATTCTGCTTCGGCAAAATGATGTTACAATTTTGATTAGACTTTTTCGGCCTGTTGTAATTGTTACTGATTGTTGATAATAATGATGATTAACATGATATATCAACCAACAACAAAAACCTATCTTGGCTCATTCAAAACTTGCAACAATCAAAAAAAGCAATCATTTAACTTATGATTTACAGTCTATTTTTTCACCCCAAAAACACTATTACTTTTCATTGTTGATCGCAACTATCCGAACAATCCTTTACAACTTTATCATCATTATACCTTAAATTGGTAATTGTAAAGTTAACTGAAAGATTGACTTGAAAAGCGAGGAAAAACTATTCTCCAGAAACTAAATCAAAGTGAGTTGACAATTTAACTTGAATTTAATTCAAAATTTTAATCTTGCATTTAATCTTGTCCTTAATTTTTCCCATTTCAAATATTCCCTTTAAAACAGCTTTGGTAACAGCTTTTCGTTAATGGCCTGACTATCAAGATTATCATGATTTACAGTCATTTGCTTAATCAGCCACAATAAAATCACAATTGTCAAGATATGAAGTGCAACAATCAACACCAACGTTCAATTGTTTACTCCTAAATCAACCAACGCTGACCCGATTATTGAGATCTGCTAGGATTAACATTTAACCTCAACAGGTTTACAATGAGATAAAGACAATAGTAAATCAGTTGAATCACAATTTGGTTAATCGTTGAATAACTAAAAAATTATTCACTAGTTGACTAGCGACAGTCAAGATTAAAAGATCAACAATTGTAACTCTAATGGTAACTTAAATAGCAACTTTAATGGTAATCTTAATAATAGCAATCTTAATAGATTAAATGGGTTGAATGGGAATAATGGACTTTGAAGATTACCAGGAAAAAGCCAGCGAAATATCAAGACAATACTCGAAACATTGGGTTAATCGTTTGTGTTAAAAACAATTGTTGAATGTGGATAAACTCAGATATAGATTATGTTTAGTTAAAGGTAAAAAATATTCACAATTAACGGTTAAATCGACGTAATTTCACTTAAAATGAAAGTGTTATTTGATTGTATTTTTACGTGAAGAAGAAGCAATCGGTTTGTTCCTTATGAATGCATTACTGTTAATGAGTTTATTCATCTCTTGTTTTGTTTTTATTTGTATTTCTTGAAACCATTGATTATGGTTATGATTACTGATCATCTTTATAATCATTGTTATCATGTGTAAACGTGCAAACAATCAACAATACAGTTGAATGGATAATTATTGGTTTGTCGAAGTTTCAATTTACCATTCAAAATATACCTCATTTTGAGCCATTTTTGCGTTTCTTGGTCACAATTTTTACCTTCTACTCTTTATTGTCTTCACTTGACTGACACTTTAATCATTTTCACTTGATAATTTAATGCTCTATTAGTTTAATAATGAATGTATCTAAATATTGATCAAAACATTTCACTATTAACCATTCAAAATAATCTCAACATATTTTTAACTTGACACAAAATTCACACAAACAAGACTAATGAAACAACCAAATTTCATGATAAATTGTGCTCTTTTTCATTCATTTGTTATTCAGCTTATTGGATTAAATTAATTGAATAGCGAATCAAAATGAGAGTAAAAATGGCCAAAATGGATGATTCTAATTGTTGCAGCTTGAACCAGAGTTAATTGAGTCCTTAATCATCTTAACTCAATCAACCTTTCAACCTCACAACGAGTTTAATATTTATTTTTACACATATTAAATCACATCAAACCACAATAGCAACACAAAAGTGGCCATATTTCGGTTAATAGCGTTACATTGTGGTTCAATCGTTATTTTTAACAGGTTCAAGATTTACTTTTGTTTAAAATGTAATTTAACTTTTGAAAATTGTTGACTAAATCATTTATCCATAAGATTTCAATGATTAATTACAGCGAAAAAATTTTGATTAATTTTTCGCTAAAAAGAAGAGAAAAAATGGCCAAATTAATTTGAATAAAGCTCAAAAGGGCTAAATATTGAATCAAGAAAAAAAGTTGACCTGGAATTTGGCATTCCATCAACTTACATCAATTTTGATTAAAACTTTCACACATCGGCCATTAAAAGGGAAAGAATCTCGACTTTTCTGGAAACTATCGAAGAAGCTATTTTGCATTCTTACAAAGTTGAACATTTCATAGCAAAATAAGGTTCTTGCTTATTCAATGAACATAGAATGTTCATCACTATCATGGTTTTTTCAAGTTCGAGTTACTTTGATGTCTTGAAACAATTGATTCTAAATTTCCTTCTCTAACCGAATCGGTTTGGTCTCTTTAAGTCCCAAATCTAATTGTAAAAAGTCGACCGTTTTTGAAGCACAGACAAATTTGGTTAGTCAAAGTTACCTAACAAGAATTGTCTTGAACTTATTTCCTCTTCAATCCCTAGAATCTAGTTTTGAATATTGAGGCAAATGTTTACTTGAACTAATATTCAGTTAATATTGACTTTTAAAGGTTGTTATTGCGAGTTGAATCTAATAAGCTCTTTATTTAACCCAAACACCATTAAACGGAGATTTGGCTCAGAGTTTGATATGCATCATTGGGATGAAAGTTAAAGAACTGACAGCAATCGTTCTGGTCAAAACTGAAGTTGATTTTGAAAATGTTCAAGTTCGCGGATGTTTTATTTCACCTAAAAAGCTATCGAATCCCATTCATGTAAACTCTTTTTTTTGTCAAATCATTAAAAATGTCATTGTTTCATTATGCATTTGAATCTTTGATAGACTTGTTCAGTGAAACATAATAAGACCATTAAAATGTAAAAATTAGGTTTCAAATTTTTCCTTCACTGAAAACAGGTTGAAATTGTCATCTTCAGTAAAACTGGTTCAGATGAAACGATATTCATCAAGTTTACTTGACGACAAAACCAAGCATAAATCTGAACAAAAAGTTGAAAAATGTTGGCGAATGGTTCAATTGGAAATTCAATTTTTCTTTAACCAAATTCACTCGCAATGAGTTTTTAACCAAATTTAACCAGTTTCTAGATTTGGGTAAATTGTCGAATCGATTGAAATATTAACAACGAATGAATTTGATTCTTCAATCATTTTCATGGTAAAAGTAGAAAAATTGTGAACTTGAATTTTAATGTTTCAAAGTGATCGCCTCTGACAACACTTTGAAGACACAAATTATCCAATGAAATCATTAATCTAACCCAGCTTTTCCTGGTTAACACAAATGACAGTTGGATGGTGTCAAGTCTTTTTTTTTGTATCATAATTAATTAACAATAATAAGGTGTGAACATGGTTTTAATCAAGGTTAACCTCAAGATGATTAAATTGTGAGAGAAAAAATTTCTCCATTTTAAGTTGAATTTGGGAGAAAAATTGAAATCTGAAAATGATTATTTCTTGAGTCAACATCAGTTATTGTACAACAAATGCATTCAAATTGAACACGAAAAACGTAAATCAATAAGTCCATTCCAAGTCCATTCAGGGTTAATCTTTTGTCGCCCATTCAATGTGGTGACATGATAATGACCTTTTCATGAACTCGGATCAAACCGTTGATGAAAATGTGTAAAAATAAACTGTCACTTTGAATGGAAGATGAAAAAAGTTGAAAATTTGAAATGATAAATGAACCAAAATTGAACTTAATTGACAATCAAACATTATCATTACCTTTTCATGGTCTATTCAGGTATGAAAAAAGGACAAAAAAGGTAAATATAAAAGAAATGTAAATATTGTTATCATGATGATTGGAAGATGAAAAAAGGATTTTCTTTCAACAATGTGAATGATGAATTTTCTGCAATTGATGATTAACTTTGAAAAGGTTAAATTTACAATTGTTGGATTGATTCGGAAATTGATGAAAATTTGAATTCATCTTTTGTGATATCAAACATTGCGATGACAATTTAAATCACAGAACTCAACTTTTCTCATAACAGTAATGAAATGGACGTAAAAATAACGGACATTTAAGGTCAAAGATCTGAGACTGAAAAAGAAAGTTGAATTTCCGTTATTCACTGAACTTGACTTCAACCAATTTTAAAGTTACTTCTGAACTTTTTTCCTTCTCTTTTCAAATGTAATTGATTTACAATTATGTTAATCATTACAATGATGATCTTTTTTTTCTTACCTGTCATTTGCTATTTTCACCTTTTCTCTTTCTCATGAGATTCCATTTTAAACTGAAAATGATTATTCGTTTTGTTACGTTTCTCTGACAATGATGAAGCTGGTTGGTAAACACACGCAATATTGATCATTATTGTAACTGATTACATGTTACAAGTTAATCAGTTAATCACTTGCCAATATTATACTAATCATGATAAACAAGAGTAAAAGTTATTCATGAGCAACTTCATTTGTTTCTCTGAGTAAAAAAAGGTTTGAATGGTTATGAGAAAGAAGCAGTTTCAATGAAATCAATGTTGTTTTCAATTGTTCATCAACAATTAGATTTCTTGTGAATCTCAAAATAAGCACAAAAAGTGAATCTCGTAATTGAAGCAATCATTTGAATAACAACAAAATCAATTATCAATATAAATTCATGTCAACCAACAAGTTGTTCAGGTAAATGTCCTTCTTTGACCTGAAGGTAACATTTTAGATTAACTCTGAAAGATGAAAAATTTGTCCATCTGACGCTTTGTAATCAACTTTATTTTCACTTGAAATCTTAATCTTTACAATATTAATGTTGAAACGAGTAAGGTCAAGTTGGGCAAATCAGTTAGTGACAAAGTGACCATTAATTATATCAACTTCATTTTCACCGAAAAAAAATGATTAATCATGAGCAAAGAGTAAATTAATCAAGTTATTAAAAGTGAAGGAAAAGCGCGAGAAGAGAAGAAAAATGTTTCAAATTTTCCGAGTTTCCTAAAAGGTAGAGACAGTCACAATGAATCAATTTAATTCAATTGTTTGCATCACTAATCAATGCACAATCAATGAACATCATGACATTCAACCTGCAAAGTGATTCAAGTGAAATTGACCTTTTTCATTGTTTACTGGCAATCATTTCAATTGGCAGCAATACAATGAACAAAAACACAAATTTTGATGATCAGTAAATAGCAACAATTGAATAGCAAACTTGAATTGTAAGTTTAGTCTTAATCAACATAAACAGTTACATGTTGGCCAAAAATGTTGATTTACTTTGACAAGAGCTATTGAGACAAGTCAGGGATCATCTTGAGTAGGAAGAAACTGAATCAAAGGCAATCAAGAGTAACAAATTAATATGCAGACAATAATTAAATAAGAAAGCAAAATTGGTATGAAAAAGGCATTTATTATTGGCTTCTCAAGGTAACATTTACTCTTCTCATTTCCTGGCAAATGATCATCTTTTTCACATTCATATTCATCTTTTTCATCTTTAATTTCATCTTCATTTCCATCTTTATAATAGCTGAGTTTTTTTCCCTCAAAAATGATTCTCTTTTCTCTCTCAATGTTTGAAAAAGTTAATAACCAAGAGTAGGTTTAATACCAGTCTAATGGTCAAAAAGATGATAATTTACTTTCATTTCAGATTGTTGTTTAGTTCAATTTTCAAGGTTCAATTTCACCAGGAAATCTTTACTGATTAACATGGAGAAGCAGCAAAACTCTTGTAATGACATTATTATTAAATTAAATGTTATTTCCTGAAACATTTAACCCAACAAGGTTATTATTGTAACGCAAGTTCAATTTAATTTCATTACTACTCACACAACACACACAACACACACCTTTAAATCAAGGTTAATTTAAATCAAGCAACCAATTAGTCAATTGAAACATTTCAACAGTTTTTTGCAAATTGTCTGCCAACAAGAGCAATCAGTAAATCAGATTCTCAATTTTTCTTCAATTGTTTGCAAAGTGTTTTGCGATTCTTAAGACTTGGGTTTATCATAACAACAATTATTAGCAAAGGGCAATAGACGATTGCTATCATTGTATTGGCACGTTTCAATCATTAATCAATCACATTTTAGTGCGGAAACGTAGTGACAATAGTCATTATTAAAAGGTAAAAAGTAATCAACGAGAAAAATTCATTTCTTAATAAGATGTAAGGTTATTACCATTGACTATAAATAGGTGGACAACACTTTTGTTCAATCAGTAAATGTGTAGGTTTTCATTTGCTCATCAACTATCTGTTTATTGATTCATGGAGTAATCAAAGTTAATCAATAAACAAGCCTAAATCAAGAGTTGAATTATTCATATCAATAAATTGATCAATTTGAATCCGACCAGATTCACTCAAACATTTTAATCAAC